TTAGAGTGCTTTCCCCCTCCCACCATGGTTCATTAGTACCTGTCTGCAATATCCCCTTACTGCATCGTACTCTCAGCATCGTACGTCCATTTACTACTCAGCGTGACCTTGAATTTGGAGTAATGAAAAACAGCCTTCCCTAGAATCTACCAGAAGTGCCCATTTGTCCGGAACATACCGGGAAGTTTCGGAAACAGCGAGAAGACGACAACTGTTTACTCTGACATGCTTCTCCTCTAACGTGAGGGTCTGAAAACACGACCAGAGACCGGTAAGCTGCAAATATCTCACCAACGGCTCCGGCAGTCTTGGTCGGTCAGGAAAGACAAATAATCAAATAATCTACCTTGGACGTAATCCCTGGGGATTTATTCATCCTACCAGCTACCTTACTCTACATCAAACCTTATAGGATGAGGCGTACCCAGGGTTTTTACAAGTTTTTTTTAAACATTTATTTACAAGTAATAGAATCATTTCATGTTTTCAATTTAAGTGCATTGTACTGTATATTGTCAAGCTAAATCAATCTGTCCTGTGTATCGCAGTGAATAACCTTTCCTGTCTTCACCTATTTCAAGTTACATTTGTTACAATTTCATTGTTTGAACTTGTAACTAGCTTGGTATGTTGACTTCGTGGCTGTTATGAGCCTTAAAAACTATATAAGATACTATTAGTTCGACTCAGTACTTCTTCCCCGCTAGAATTACGTCTTAAACAGAGTATTCACCTTGTAATTTCTCAAAGATGACCCCGACTTACCACACCTGCCAAGTTCTACATTCCTAAAACCGCATTTTTACTAGCAGATTTCCCCTCCAAACAGGCTCAGGTTTGGACAAGCCCAGCGCCGTGCTGGGATAAAAAGCGCTGGAGCGAAGCCACGTAGAACCTCGGTGTCAGCACGGGCCAAAAAGGGCTAATTTAAGCCCCGTGATTTTGACAGGTGGGTAGAATTAAACTTCAGTCGGTGATATGAGGCATCCTGGCTGCCGGGGTTAACTTCACTCGCGACCTTTCGGCGAAGACAGACGATTGGGTTTCTGTCTGAACAAGTAATCCGGCCACTACATGGTCAGGAGCGGGGCTTAAGTCAACCCAGACCGAGCGCTACATCCAGCAGGGGTCGAGGGTTCGAATCCCGCGACTATGCGAGATTTGTCTCGCACACGCTTCGGGTAGTCTGGTTATGAGTTCTCACAGGTTTTAGAAAATCTCACGATGACAAATTAGCTTAGTGTCAATGTAATTCTCAACGGTCTTCCGAAGTGGAATATCTTTGTGCGAATTTCTTTGTAGCGTGTACAAAAGACATACTGGAATTAAAACATTTTACTCAATATACCTTTATAAGGCTTATATAAATAATGATTAAAATTTTATTGTTCAATTTTCTTTTAAACTTTCTGTACTTGCTGTGGAATTTTATACGCCATTTGAACAAATTGTGAGACAGAAATATCTATAATATTGATGTAAGAACGTCTCTTGGTATAAGAAATAGAGCCCTACCCCTACGTGTATTCATAATTAATCAGTATGATAGCTAAATGGTTTGTGGGTGGTGCTCTTTAAGTGACCTCCGCAGACTTAAACAGTGATGTTGATAGTATCACATCGCCTCTACGGGAGGATATAAAAATACACAGACTGGTAACTAGAGCCTGATGTATGTAACGTAATGGCGGGATTAGGTGTAAAGGATATGTCCAGAGACGTATCATGGAAAATCCTTGACATGTTAAAAGGGTCATCACACACTTCTCGATGGACAAGTCATTATATTTGTGCAGCCCAACAGCCCGTGTAATTTGTAGTCCCCTTATCTCATCTGTCAACTATGGAATTATCTTGCATTTTTACATTGAAAGACAACATAATATACCACAGCAAGAAAACGCATATATACCACGGTATACAGGAAAGGAAAAAACTTTTAAAATTACATCTTCGAACAGCCAACATAAGCAAACATAAATAACTAATAATAATTGATAAACAATAATAACTAATTACATGGCAATCAATTTGTTAACAATGAACAAATATCTAAACACGAGGAAAATATTTCCCTAACAACAATAATGTGTTCCGGATTTTTTGTGAAATGTTTGTATCCCCAAGATCCAAGTCCCCCCTCCCCCTCCGAATTTTTCCCTAATTAAAAGAAACAGGTGGGGTAAGGGTTAGTTGAAATAGAAGCAGCAAAGCCTTTTCGTCTGTAAATATACAAGATGTTGAAACAAGAGCTATATGTACGTTAAGGTGATTATCCTGCGACGCATACAGAACTTGATCATATGTTTACTTCCAACAGAAAAACCAAATACAAATTGTACACTGTAACTGTATGTATACACCTGTATATGGTAAATATACTTGTGCAAAATTGTGAGGAAAGAAGTGTTGAATGAGAATTGGAAAACTAAATGTTGGGTCTGACAACATGCCGTCGTTTTTTCCCTTAAGTACACGGACGGAAGATTCAGGGTTACTGTTAGCGTTGGCGAGGCGTGAGATCGTGCGATGTTCCCCTGCAGGTTCCCTACACGCATTTGTCGCATACCCGGCAAAATTCCCGCGGGCCTGTGTCATCCCTCCGCCGGGCGGCTGACCCGACCTGACCCGGCTAGCCACCTGAGCTGCAGACGCCTCACGGTTAGAAAGAACCGAAAGGACGTCTGGAGATTTCGGGGGGCATTTCACGACTAGATGGCCCACTTTGAAGGAACGGAGGGAGAATGTGAAGCATTTCGAACGGAGGTTTGAAACCCCGGGGGTGTCACTCTCAACGGAAGATTTCAGGCCTGATGTCAATCACGGTCGTAACACTAGAACAGGATCTTTATGAATTACGTTTTGATGGCATAACAATAACCCATTGGAACAAAAATTAATAATAATCTATTTGTAAATACAGATTTCAGGCCCGATGTCAATCATGTTTCTAACACTAAAACGTGTTTATAAATCACGTAATTTAGATGGCGTAATCTAACAATAACCCATTGGAACAAAAAAGTAATAATATTTTTTTGTAAATACACGATATCGGCAATGTTGCCTGTGAAATGATACGTGTATTGCATTGCACCATTCCGAGTAAGATAAATTAAAATAAAGGGTATAACAATGTCATCACACCAAAATGATAACTCTCCTTACCTGTTACCTCGGCGTCATTGTACAGCTTGCAAAAAGATGAAATTTTGAATATAAGACGATAAGATATTATAATAATCATTACAAATAATCGACGAAGATGGGGAAGGGTGGATGGAAAAGGCGAGCAAAGTGGTGGTGGTGTGGGGGGGTGGTAGGTTGGGAAAATGACGAATATCAAACAAGACTGAGGAAAATGATGGAGTGATGACATTGAAGTTTGTGCAAACGGGACGGGGTAGTGTGGATTATACAGACACGGAACCTCAAGAATATAACCAAGATGTTCATTGCACATTCAAGCATTATAATGATCATTCAATTATCCGCGCAGATTTTGTTTCTTTCAAGTTCTCAACACGCCCCCTCCTCCCAGCAATATAATCTACCCGCGCGGAAAAGGCCCCCCACCCCACCGATCCATTAACCAGGTGACGACTGAGTAGATAGGTGTTGTTAAATCCGACCTGATGAGGATCAACTTAACAGCTCGCGATTGCATTCCGCACATTCCAAACACAAACGTGGGTACAAAAGAAAAGAGAGACACTTTCACTATTCGCCCACGGATTTCTAACATTTTCTCTTCCCACAAAGTATTTACAGCAATTAAGGTTACATCCTGTGTGGGTTGCCGCTTGGTTACACAAAATACGTCTCTACGTTTTTCTAGCTCCACATACATTTTAGGAAAGCAGTTTAATGTATCAACTGAAGAGGGTAGCCGAAAAAGCGTGCTTGGAGTTCAGAATTGGAGAACTCGTCAGAAAATTAGTCGTTATTAGTGGCATGATACATTAGATTATAAAGATCTATAAAGGTTTCGACAATGGGTTTCACAATTTACCAAGAAAGGTAATAGAGTTCTGGAATTATTTCTTCCCAGACTACTGTGTTTTCCGTGGCATGTTTATTGTAAAATATGTGTCCTTCTGATATTTCCTGACACCTGTATACTTTCTGCGGGGTTTTTTTTCAAGAGAGTGTTACATCCAAATCCAAGGTGTGCCGACCGCTAGCTGCAGAGTTTGTTCGGGACTTGTGGGAGGGGGATATTCGCTCGGTTGGTTGACACTAACACTACCCAGTTGTTTATACAAAGACAGGCCGTGTTGACAGGAGTTCCCCACAGACTTCCCTTCACGACTGCTCTGCCTCCCGTCCGGGCGGCTAGGGACCGCCAGGTCCCCCGTATAGAATCTACTTTCCCTGTCAGACACGCGTGTTGACCCCACACAGTCACTACAGAGTCGCACGGTGGTCTGCCAGATCTGACTATACACTTCTGTCAACTCAAACCTCGACTAACACCACTCATCCTTAGACCTAACGCCTTCAGGACAGATTTAGCTTTAAGACGTAACACCACTGTCTCACGTATTTCTATGCCTTCTAAGAAGCGGTCGCAAAATCTCCATAGGCTAAAACTCCAGGCATTTCAGAGGCCTGCAAAGAGTCAACCGACGTCTCCTAAGTCTTAAATCTGAACATTCTAAGAGGATCTCGCAATATCTCTATAACTTATAGTATAAGCTAAAACCCCAGGCTTTTCGGAGGGTTGCAATGAGCCAACCGACACACCCTAATATCTCTAATTCGAAAACACACATTGTATTTTCGGACCAAGAAACTGGGAGAAAAGTACACGTATGGACTGGACAAATTGGTAAGGGAAGAGGTGGGGCAAGAAGGGAAGATGGTTCTCGCGACAAAGCACACATAAAAGACAAAACAGGGGGGTGACGAGACGAAGATGAGATCTGTTGAGATGAGATGATCCGTTTCCACGGCTTAGACAAAAAGGTTATCTGGAGGAGGCTTTATTTTGTTTTTACCTTGAAGGTCCGGTGCATAGTATGTTCCCGGGTTGACATCCTCTGAAGTAGCGCTGAACGTACGACTCGTAGCCGTTAGGAGTCATACAGGAGACGCGTTTGCTAACCGTGTACGGACAAAAGTTTTGTCTCATCCTGTAGCGGTGGGAGTGAAAGTAGCGAGGGTTACAAACGCAGCCGATTCGAGGTTAAACTTGAGATGTTAAACTTCTGCTCCTGAATTTATCTACTCAAACCATCTCCCGCCAGACGCATGAACTTGAAAGCTCACTGTCAAGTTCATATCTTTGCCTTGATGTTAAAGAGGTTTCCGGGATTAGGCTTTCAACTCATTTGACACCAGTGACAACCGTGGCGGGATGCCGCCTTGTTCGTTTATACAATACCGCTCTGTTAGGAATTTAAAGACATCGATTTAAAAATTCCGATTGACTTCTAGTCGGCAAAATGCCGCTTAGAAAGTTTCTCGTAAACTTGAATAAACTTGAACACGCCGCTTCGCAATGTGCGAAGTGACATTGACCGTTGCCTGCGCCAAAATAGCTGTAAGGCGGACTAAGAGAAGATACAAGCCGGCCAAGGAAGATACGAGCCGGCCAAGAGGAAGATACGAGCCGGCCAAAAGGAAGATACAAATTTTCCACATGTTACATTTCCTTATATCGTGAGGGACACAATGCATTCTCCCTCTGATTAATTTGCCCATTACAACCTGCTGTTTCTATTAGAAACACTCTCTCCAATTCGTTCTACTCTATCAAGTATAGAATAAGTTAGAACTCACCCCGGTGCGCTTGGGTATCCCTGTGTGCCGTACATGTATGTAGAAGAAGCCGTCGTTATAAAACAGGCGATGCAGAAGAGAAACTGTAGCGCGGCAGCGCACTTGTTCCCGCGCGCGGACAGAGAATCCATCTCGGGGAGAACTCACTGTAGCACCGCTCGGCCCGACTGGAAACTACCACAAAAGACGCCGACTCCGCAAGGTCCTCTGTACCGGTGAGGAAAAGTTCATACGATACTCCCTCGGGGATTCACGAGTACCAAGACTGCCCTGCACCACCAACCGAAGCGCCTTTCTCTCCTCCCCGAGCCTTGTACACCAGAGAAAGTATTATTTCTGCAGTCTATATTTAGTCGAGGCGTGTTCCTGACTGGCTTTTACAAACAGGAAACTTCCCGAGAGAGGCCCGACTCTTGAGGAAACATGCAGGGAGGCTTCGGAAGCAGCGCGCGCGACGGTGGCGAGAGATATGGAGGAGGCCGGGCAGCGGTCTGACTCACTTGTTTGCGTAGGACAAATGTGGTGCGATTTTCCCCCTACCAGCGTGGGGGGGAGGGGAAGCCTGCCTACGATTTGTGCGTCCCTCCTCCCAAAATGAAGACGTTAATTAGCAACACATCGCGTCACTACCAGACGAGGTAGACAGGGGAAAGTGTCTGATTTCCTGTGTACATTAATCATGATGTCTGTGTTCTAGGATGGCATCTATGTCACCGTTCTATGCTGTACAAACAATTACGTTTTAAACACACATGATATCATGTGTCACGGGTTTCTTTTTCTGTTTTTTTTCCAACTTTGCTTTTCTGATGATGTGTCTGCCTCGAATTCTTTAGTCTCGAGAAGTTGTCCTTGCAAAGTAGGCCTTTAAGGCACTGAAATCTTATTTTAGGAATGCCTCCAATTAGTGGTAGCCACCAGCACAAAGCCTGTGTTTGCGCGGTTCTGGTCGGGGATAGACAGGATGGGCGGTCGGACGTGACGTGCATGTCGGGAGGATGGGCTCGAGCGAACTCCCTCGGCAAGGGGCGAGAGGTGAAGAAAGTCACCAAGAACCAATAAACCCGCCGTGTTACCAGAAGCCGGGGGCTCTGCGAGGTCGCTGCTTTTGGTCTTGATTAAAAGCTTTTTTTCAGCCTTGAAACTAACTCCAAGCTTGCAAGTTTTCTGATCAGTAGCCCTGCTACACATAATAAGTCTCCTTCAGCTGTGAGGAGAGTATGTGTTGGGTTAAGGATGCCAAACTAACACCGGACAATCAGTGCCCTGCCTGTCCAATGTCCAAAGACGGCACCCTCAAAGAAGTCCGGTAGAAATCTTAAGAAAACAACCGTTCTCCTTCGAGATTTCAGTTCATGAGCTTTTAATGACAGAAGGTTCTTGTAAACACAGAGCAGAGCAGGATTCCCAAGAGCTGGGTACGCCTGTGGGGTCGTGGGGGGCATCTCTACATCACAGTCAGGTGCACCGAACACCGGGTCAGGTGCATTCTGGACCAGAGGGCCGCCATCTTGATGGTTCTGTCCAAAATGGCGGCCAACGACAGTGTCAGTGACCTCTCATGCCCACTTAACCACTGTCTTAGCCGCCACAAAGACCCTGGGTCACTTGACACGTTGAAACGATTCTGTAAAGAATGGGGAGGACGTTGTCGACAAGTTGGTGTTGTTTTAAGAGCTGACAGCTTTGAAAAACGAGGCCTGTCTGCTCCTTGACGCGTCTGGCATTTCCCCAACGCAATCTCGGTCCCATGACGGGGTCAAACAACAGAGCCCGCTTGTAGCGACCGTGTGGCTGCTGTTCAAGCACGGGCTATTGAGACTGGGGACGCACGTATCACATTCACAGACGGTGCGCTCAGTCTGCGATGGAGTGGGCGCATGTTGACGTTTGTGCAACGGTTAGAAGAGGGAAAGTGTGCGTAGGTCACGGGAATGATAACCAAGAATTTAGCAACTCTAGTATTGTATTGAAAAGAGCTTGCAAAAACCGCAAATGTTATACTAGATACATTCTAAGCCAGCCTCGTATGTGACAATTACTTCAATAATTAGTTTCGGTAAAAAAGTTAGGAAAAATCATTATCCAAGCGAATACACACACACATTTCTAACAATAAGAGCATAGTGTTTGGAACCTAGTCAATGTTTATTCTAAGTCTGGAGTGGAAGTACCATTAACTTTTCGGCCTTTTGGTTGATCCATCTAAGACTAGTCTATATGTTTTCGTTAGAGTTTAGACAGTGTTACCTTTCAAGGGCACTTTTACATCATAACTTTTAAGCAATGACGTACAAGAAAAGTAGCACCTGTTCGCTTATATAATTTGTAATCGCCAAACGAAACATTTAGAAGTCACTTACAGTCCTTTGTTTATCTCTTCACGTCTGTTTCCCTTTGCTAATGAGTACTAAAGTTGTGATCTGTAGTCTGAGCTGCCACTGAAAGCCAGGAGAGTGGTTTGAGTGGATTCGTGTGGGCGTTATATCTGTTAGAGTCAAATTGTAACGGATTAGTCGGAGCGTGCCGCAATGATTGATGGGATTGTTCTCAAAATGGCGGCAAAAGTTTGACAATGTACGGCCAAAAGATGTAGCAATAACATCGGGATTTTGCCTACTCTGTCCCAATGGCTTATTCTAGCCACCAACAAGTCATATAGGTCATAATATAATAGGAGGGCCTTGAACACTGGATTGTATCCTTACATTTCTTACATCTGCTTGAAAATTGACAGGGCTCTCCTGCGCAACCCAGGGCTCTACCAAGGACCTCCAGGTCCGCACCCTGAAAAAGAAAGAAAGAAAATTATACCCAGCGGTGTTACAAACGTGCTAGTTGTCTATCTCAATGAAAATACCCATTCCCAAGGACGTGTGTTATACAACAGTCTGGAGACATGCCCTTGTGTTTGCTTTCAACAGACGTCCTGTGCTAATGGGACGTGCCACCTGCACGCTGACCTCTCTTCTGAAGAAGCCGCTTTTTTTTCTCACGAGTCAAATGAAACCTTCTCTTCTCGGATGTAGATTGGGTCTGTTGAAATAGCAGCATCCTTGTAGCCTGGGTACCATCCTATTTAATTTACTTACCAGGCATCCCAGACTTACCCGTGAGGGAGCGGGATTTGGAGTCCAGGTAAACTTAGTGGATGACATCCTTGGTCTGACCTATCTCTCTATATATACATGTATATTGGTAGGTCTGACCGAAATATTGCCATATTGGTAGAAGAAGACAGAGTAAACTTCGCTTCGCAACAGTTATACAACCTACTAAGTATGGTAATCTATAGTGTATTTCTCAGAATCCGGAGAAATACTTTCATATAAATTGATTGTGAGTGCCCTTTTCCGGAGATAAAGTTCAGAGGGACATTTAGACCTCGTGTAAGACTGTATAGTGTACACATCATACACAGCATGCTTCTTACATAGCTTGTGTAACGTGCTGTAAGTCACGACTAGCGGGCTGTTAAAGTAATACCAAGGTAAAAGATGACTACTCAGTAAAGTCTAAGTTGCTGACTTTGGCGTCTTTCCAGCGGGCCTGTCGTTTTCCGCGGTATAGTTTGCCCGAAGGCAGTTTCGGCGCCACGGTTATCCGATCCATTGTCTTGGCTTACGTTTAACGACCCTGTGAGCAAGGAACAACTTCCTGTAACAATACCGAACGTCCTTTTCAATTACAAATGGCCATTCTGCAGCCTTGTGTTATTCACGCTGACATTTTGCACATTTTGTTCTCCTCAAAAACTTCGGAAAGGTTGCAGAACAGATGTTTCCGTTGATACTAGTTTTATGGACTTTATTCATAACTTTATGCCAGAAGGCATTCATAAGCGGAATATGAACCTTGATATGAAAGGGACTGCAAGCTAGTATGTCGACGTCTATGATTGGTCAGGGTGAAATGCTATCATCCAATCTACGCGCTGTGATTGGTTAGATTTATTGAGACCCTATAGCTAACCATAAGTAACAGTGAACGAAGTAACGTAGCATCTATACGTCTGAATTTGCGACGGTCTTCAATTTTAACCCCTTCTTGTCTTGAAAAAGTTCAGGAAATGAAGGTATTGGTGTTAGTTGTTTCTTCCCCACTCTCCCAGTCCTTTTTCTCTCTCATGTCGAACTTGAACTTGAGGACATCGTGATTTGTGACATTAAAAAGACATTGTCCGGTCAAAAGTCGGGTTACCCTTTAAGATGTTTATACTGCATTTCTTCCTGTTTCTATATACGTCTACAGTTTCGTGGCAGCCTTCTTAAGCTTGACGTTAAGCACGCTTAGCTCTGCCAGGAATGACCCTGTTCCAGCATCATGAATTTGATAAAGCAGTGCCATACCAAGAGTGTACGGGCTTATAACGATAGAAATATCGCCCAGGTTGCCGTTTTGGGAGGTCCCAGTAAATGTTCTTGACCGGAACTTGCCGCAAAACCTTGAAAATGTTTAGGAAACTCGATAGATTCGCAAGTATGCCGTATCGCCTGAAGTCATATCAAACCTGTTTAATACCACTGGAAGGCATTGTGTGGTGTGTCACTGTGTGACATGGAACAAATTTTAGCAGTATGCTGTCAAGCGTAAGAGACAAAACCTCACCGAATATCTATTTCTTCCTTGCTAATTGTGTGTAGCTCTCTGATTATGCACAGATCTCTGATATAAAGAAAAATCGACATCTTTTTATGAATCCATTTGAATGAATATGTAGCATTGAAAGTTATAAAATAGCCTCGCTTTCTTGACATTGGTCCGGCAAAGGACAAGGCTTACCCTTGCCCTACCGCTATTTAAGATAACTGGAAGCGAGCTTATAATCCGCACGTGCCCCCCCAAAAATAGAAAGACACCTTTGACTCAATCCTAGTAGATTCAGATCTGATATACTTCAGGACTGCAGTAGGTGGTCTCTTCGTAATTTGTCTAAGATACAGAAAGGATGAATACAAATTAAGAGACATAGAAATATACGTTCTCCCAATCCTTTTGGCAATAATTGGAATGTAATTCAGCAACGGTTGAATACGATCTGCTTGTTAGCAAATTCGAGCTGAAAGAATTAGCGTATTTGGCACAAACACATTAGCTGGGTGCCGACTACTTTGGCAAAGTTTCAAAGGTAAAATTGGATATGCCTCGAGAAGTTACAGATGTTGTCTGGATGTGTAGACTCTGGGTACAAGACAACGGGTTTTGTTTATGGGTTAACCTGCTATCCAAACGACTTTGACGTACAGGAAGCAGACTATGGTGCCACGGTGGCCTTGGGTCGGGGTTGTTGACTTATAATCTAAAGGTTCTGGGTTCACATCCTCACTGAGCAAGTCCCAACGCCGGTGTTGCGAAAGGTGCTTAGCACCTATTTCATCACTTGACTCAGGTGAAAATGAGTACCAAGCTTTGGTTAGGGGCGTCCTCTCAGATGGGACGTTAAGCCGGAGGTCTCATGTTTGAGGGCGAGCCAAACGTTGCGCTCGCCAGTTAAAAGAACCCACCACACTTATCGATAAGAGTAGGGCCCTTCGTGTGTGAGTGGACTAAAGCTATCAGTCTGTTCCTAATCTCACACAGCTTGTAATTTTTGTGCCAAACTTTGATGCAGTTCACCGGTTACGCGTACACCAGAAGGAGATCCTTTAGCACAATTTCCAAGAA